CATTGCCATGCATTATAGAACTGATAGACTGCAACGGTTAAAGTTAAAAATCATCATATGTGTTCTACTGAAGAAACAAAGTCACCTACATCTTGGATGCCCCGGGGGTAAGCAGATAAACATCACATTTTCATTTTTGGTTGAACTATCCCTTTAATTCATCCTCTGAGAAGCATTAAACAGTGTGAAAAGACACCTAAATGCCATTTCAGAAATGCTTCTGTGCCATCTTTGCGGTTTAAATTTCCCATTAGGAATTATTATAATTATAACAATAATAACCCTGGTCCGAAATGTATCAGATTACCAAAAAAACAAAAAATGCAGTAGCCCCTCACTGCAGAACAAAGATCCAGGGGGCGGGGTTGGATCCACATCTAGGAGGTGGAGATGGGTGGGTTTAGGGATCAGGGGGTGGAGACTGGTAGGTTTAGGTATATGTAAGGTGGGAGGAGTTGGATCTTGCCCCCTGGATCTTGTGTTCTGCAGTGAGGACCATCTCAAAAAAAGTAGGGGTGGGATTTAGTTCTATGCATGGGCTGTTGACTGGATTTTGAGTGGGCGTTGCACTCAAAACAGAAGACATGAATGTGAGCTTGTGGGGGGGTGGGGTTTAGGTGGACTAATGATTGGAGAAGTCCTGCATATGTCTCCAGAGAAAAGTCTGTCATTTTCACCTGAGGGTCCAGTTTTATGACATTTTGATTACACATTACAAACACATACACAGATGACCTGTTTACAATAGAATCTGTAATATGCATTTAGAAAACAGATCAAGTTTCATGGCACCTTTAAACCAGCCAGCATACCATCCTGACCACACTGAGGAACCAGCGGAGCTTTTTTTTCCAGCAGTGCTAAATTAGTATAAATTTGAAAGAAAACAGTTATAAAAAGGGTAAAATAAAACATAACACTTTGACGTTTTTTTAATAATTCATTTTCTTTAAACACACACAATTTGCATGCACGAGAGATGCAGAATAAAAATAACCACATAAAAAAAACCAAAGCAAATGTGCAGACCTCTTAGTCAACTTCTGACATAGTCTTTAATTTCGTATGCACGCCTAAATTATATCAATGGAAGCGAAAACGTCGCGTTTTAATTTATTTTTTAATGGTTGCATGCGTGTTTTGCTGCAATGACAGCTCATTTGGCATGTTTCTATCTAATGGGACAATGTTAACAGCATATGCATCAGGAAAGGTAGCTGGAAAGGCACAAAACCATCCATTAATGATATCAGGGCTTCCTCAACCAGCCTCCATTAAAATGTCAGCTTTTGTTATGCACGCGAAGAAAGAAGCACTATCTAAAAGCTATGCAACATGTAAACTTCCGCCTGCAAACAATAATGCCCCTATGCCTCCATCCCTCTCTCGGTTAGTCTCACTGAGAAAATAAAAGAGAGAAAAAAAACTCGAGGATAAAAAAAAAAAACCGAAGAGAGAAAAAAACCCGTCGACGCCAATGCGAGAGAGCCGCAGCTTCATGCAGACTTCCGGCTGGCGAGACGGCGAGAAGCGCCCGCGTGAGTTGCTCAAATTTGGAGAAAGAATTCACAATTGACTTATAACTCTGTGTTAATTACCGGTGCTGGCGATTCCCTTTCAACCCCCAGGGCTCCTCCGGGCCGGGACAGTTCGGAAACTTCGTCCAAATCCGCCCGAACCCCTTGGATTCACCGATTTTTTTTTCCCCCTCAATTTTTTTCTATTTTTTTCTCTCGCGAAGGGCTGTCCGACTCCGCGCGACTCCACTTCCGGTGAATGAGGTCAAAATGATCGCACGCCTGCCACCAAAATCACTTCCGGCATGTGAGGTCATGTATTTTTCTCCAAAAATAATGTTCACAAATAAATGGATTTGTGTCATTGTAATTTACATTTTATCAAAGTCATAAAGTGCATGTTATTCGTTTTACGTTTAACTGTGAAATAAGAAATCGCCACCTCTCATCAATTTTATGAGTATATATATATATATATATATGGAAATTTCTATGAAATATGAGTGCCTTTTCAATTCTTGTAGATATGTGGTGCTTTAATACTGTGCATTTAATAGCTGTTTTTTATTTTGTGGCTTTATATTTGTATTACAACAAGCTATTTTATTTAAATACTTATTTTTTTATATAATGTATTTTTAAATAAAACATTTTTTAAAGTTTACATTTAATTGTACTGCTGTCTTTTTGCAGATTTGACAAATAAGTTAAAAACACACTCTAATAAAGCCACCCCTCCACCCCCCTTTTGTGCCTTTTATGCTTTATATTTGTATTACAACCTGTTATTTTACTTGTGTAAGTACTTATTCTTTATATAATGTATTTTTAATCATTCCTTTTTAAAATGTTTCCTATACATTTAATTGTACTGCTTTCTTTTTGCAGTTTAGACAAATAAAAACACACTTTAATAAAGGCTGTTATGGAAAAGAAGACCTGTCTATGCTTTTCTGTGTTATATGTATGTCTATAAATCTCTCAGCACATTTACAAAATCATTCAACAATCATCCTCTGCTCATCACTTAATAAGAAAGCTGCTGAAACAAGCGTATTGATGAGAAAAGAATGTCTTCAGTCAGTGTAAGGGTTACCTCCCGGTTCATCTTTGAAGTGGACATCGTTATGTGTAATTATTTATTTTCGTTTATTCGTTTATTATTTTAGATGCTTATGCTAAGTATTCGTCTATTTGTTTTTTCTTTTTATTTATTATTTTTTTTGTCCTGATTATTTTAGTAGAATATTACTGTGTTTTGTATTCCAGTTGTTGTGTATTTTATTGCTTTGCATTAACCTGAGTCACATATTGTTCTTTCAAACAATATTTCTGTTGTATGTATCCCCTGTGAATGTTATGTGCTAAATAAAATAAATAAATATATAAAAACAAACTCTGAAAACTCATAAACTAGCCATAGGACCCATTTCTCCGCCCATTTTGGGCGGGAGTTTTTGAATGCCTTGTATTGATTGGTTCCGATCCGACCAATGAGAGATCAGCTGGTAAAGCGACCACAAGCTGAATTTAAATTTGAAGTTCAAACGGCTGCGAGAAGTGTTTGCGCTGGTGTGTGTTGTTTTTCTTCACGTGTAATTCTCAGTCCTTGTATAAAAGGTTTGTTGTTATGTGTTTATTTATATACGTCAACTGTAAGTATGATAAGTTATGCTTTATTTCTCGATGTTCAGATAAAGCTTATTGTATTTTGTAAAGTTACGTGAATGGCGTTATATTTCAGCAACTGTTTGTTTTCGTCAATACAATGTGTTTATTGGTGATTTTGAGTTTATTAATTTAAATATGCACTTGAATGGCACAGTTATTTGACTAAATGACGTTAACGTTTGTGTATGTTGTGTTTTCTCGGGCTTGCCTTGAAGAAGAATTACACACCATGAACAAAGAGGTAAGATTATAAACCGTTGGAAATGCTTAACGGCTAACGTCTCCATTAATCCTGAAGCATTTGAAAACGGCGTTTTCGTTTTTCTCTCCGTCGACGCTAGCGTTTTCAAGAGTTTTCCAAGTTTCTCATCAACACTGAAACGTCGGAAAACGTTAAATTCGTGTATAAACATATCCATTTGTAGTGTATGCGTCGCATGACTAAACACGCGTTATGGTTTTCCTTGACAAAAGCCTCATCTCTGTGTGGACGGAAGGCCAAAGCGACGAGAAAGATGTTAAGTAGATGCAGTATGCAGCCCAAGCTACTTGTTATTGCTGTTCAGTACAAAATAGTATGCACCTCATCAGCAATTTAGTTTGAGTGCTAAATGCATTATTCTGAAACTACTACTGCTTTGTTTTGAATTGCACATCTCTCATTAGCTCTACGGTCATGAAAGTCTGTTCATGTTTTTCTCTTGGTTGCTCTGCAGAATACAGCATCCCTTCTCCCTGTCATGTCTGGGAAACGGGCTCACACCAACAGCTCCGATGGGGAGCAACAGCAGCCTGCGCAGGTCTGTTTTTAGTCTGTACAGATTTCCTTTCCTTGTGCTTTTATCACAAATGTTCTTCTTTGGATTGTTTGGAATATATTTAATGGAAAAGCATCCCCACTTTTCTCCAGAAGAAAATGCGCAGAGTAGATGCAGAACCGCCTCAGAGGTTCAGACCTGCGGCTAGTGTTGTGCCCCCAAGACATCCTGTGGCAGTCAAAGCTCCTGGTACGTTATACTGAAGTTTAAAGGTCCCATATTGTCAAAACTGAAATTTCCTGGCTTTTTTTCACGATAACTGAGGTCTAGGGGCTATTTAACTACCATATAAGTTTCAAAACAGTCAGTTCACAGTAAAAGGCACACAGCCTGCATAAAGTTCTAGCTATTTTTCATGAACCATTGTGACGTCCGTAAAAAGTTGACGTCAGAACTACACAGTCACCAACATTTAAATTTCAGCAGGCAACTATTTTTACAGCTACATTATTGTTCCAGCCACAATTAATCACAACAATGTATATACAATTACATGATTATATATATAAATCGTCAGTTTGTTGTTTTACACACATGCGCACAGACATTTTCATACACGATATAGTCATGAGATGCAGGAAACATAGACATATGGCAAGAAATCTGTAGACACGCCCATAACAACAAAATACAATATTGAACCTTTTCTGATAAGAAGTGTATTTTTGACGATCGTTTCTGTCCAGTCCGCTCGTTTTATTGCGTTTAACCACAGCTGTCGTCGCTTTTTTTGTCTGGCAGTGGCAGCAAATATGCGATCAAATTTCTAATTTGAGGCTGTATTACGTCGATTCTGGCACCCAACATCACAACAAGATTATATTTTAAGCTCCTTATGTAGCCGAATCTGCGCTGGTTTGAATGGGCTGCCTCCAGTTTCCCCTTTGTTTTGCTGACCCTAGTTACCTGTGTTTGGCCTGGCCGTGCGTCACTCAAGAAACAGGCCAATCAGAAGAGAGGCTCATGAATATTAATTAGACAAGGCAAAATCGACCTGTTCTCAGCAGAGCTCCTGAGAGTGGAGCTGTAAAAATATATTGAGATGGTTTTTGGTACTTGTACTGCAAATATATATTCTTAAGGACATCAAAACCTAAAATAAAACTCCAGAAA